AAAAAAAAAAAAAATACTGCTTAAGTAAAGGAATGCTGTCAGTACACAGCTGGAAACACAAATTTTACCACAGAAACACGTATCAAACTAACAATATGTCTTTATCCATGCTCTCAAAATATTAAAGCATTGTGAATACTTGTAGAAATGTAAAAAAAGTCATGAATAGATATACTTCTTATTACAAAATCTATTAAGGTTTTTTCATGCATTTTGTTGGTATAGCAATCAATAAAACAAATATCAAACAAACAGTGTATCTTTATTTGTATTCTCAGAATATTAAAGCATTTTGAACACTTCACAGAAATGTTTAAAAAATGATGCAAAGATATGTTTAATACTACCAAATCTATTAAAGGTCATTTCGAACGATGCCATTTTGTCTTCTTCGACTCACACGGCCAAACTGTCAGGTGGCCTGTCCGACCTTCAGCCCACCAAATACCTCGACGCCCTTGTCGACCCTTTTTTCGCTACAGAGAACCTGGTAGCCTATGTGCTGCTTTGTACAGAATGTCACTGAAATTTTTCGGGCGATAATCACTGGCGGCTGCCAGCCTTTCGCACAATTGTAAAAAGGTGATATCTCCATGCCCAATATCAATGGCATACCAATGCAAAACGACGGCACCCGTTCTCTTTATGACTTTAATTGTCGTGTTATTTGAAAGTAATCCTAGAGATGAATTTGTCGGCAAAGCGGCCACATTTCCACCTGGCGATAATACGCATGCGCAGACAGCTCATTTCCTGGCATATTCAATNTTTTTTTTTTTTTTTTTTTTTTTGGAGAACGGGCGAAAATCGGTGCGCGCGCAGGATGTCATCCATAAAAATAAAAAAGTGTGGCCTATTGTAAGAAACTTATTAAATAATAGATTCAGTGACAAATTCCAGCTGAAGTTATGCTTCTTATGACTATTGCAGACAAGACATGCTAAAACTTACGGTCAAGGTCCATGTTAGCCATTGACCTAACCCATTCCAGTTTAGTGAGGATGCCATCGTTATTGGTGTCCGTAGCATCGCAGACCAATGTCCCAATCTCTCTCGCTGTAAGCTGAGGCTTCGCACCATTAACAGGGACACAATCCCTAAAAAAAGTCAACTGAAATTCAAATAATCTTTCTGAAATGTATTTGCAAGTGTGGTTTTGTTGTGTTCTTGGACATTGATGAGGAACCAAAATAGTAGCATTTCATGAAACTATCATCAGAATGATCTTTTATGTTATAAATTAATCCTTAGTGATGAAACAATATTTGTGCACTTCAAAATCATCCTACATTGAACATAAATACATCCTAATTAAAAAAATTAAAACCTTCTCAGCAGATTTAAACAGACCTCTGAATTAAGGACGAAAAGCAATACACTGATAGAGAGAGAGATTTGATCATGACCACAAGTGCTTACATTTTTGTTGTCATGGAGACAACACAGAAGCCCACGATCATCATGTTTAACTTCATCTTCATTCTGCAGTTTGTGGTACTTGAATAGAATTCAGATATCAACTCAATACATGAAAGCACACTGAGAAAACTAAAATCATCTCTAAGAGTAAGAATCAACTCTCTATCATGTCTTCCACACCTTCTCTGTGAATAGAAGGCCAGAGACAAAATCTACCTAACAAATCACCCTAGCTGAAATGTTTTAATGCCTGCTGTGTAATATGTCTAGTTCTAAAATTTGTATAAATGATGTACAATTTTTAAAGATTTTGCTTGTCACACACGTTGATTTTGAATTCACATAAAATTCCATTTTAAGTATTACTTGTAAAGGATGGATTAAGGCTTATTTCTAAAAAGCAATGTCAGACTTAAGAGAAAAGGAGAATCTACACCCACACGTGTACTATTAAATGGAAAACCAATGCAGTGTAAGCAGGCACATAACTTCCAAAATTCCCTCTAAATAAGTGTTAGTCTCTATATTTTGTTGAACTTTAAAAGATATTTAAATTAAAATTTAATTCTTGACATTCGATGTATAGGTCTAACGTAACACAGATTAAGCAAAAGAAATATATCACAGATAAGTAATTTGACAACCAGTATCAAATTGAAATAGAATTGTGAAACTTGAAAATAAGTAACATTTGGATATCATATAAAAACTCACTTGATATCGTGGATGTTCACAACAGCAATGTTAATGAATATGATTCTCCAACTGAAATGTCAACAAGAAGTTTTCCACTCTTTACATGAAAAAATTTTCTTGGGAGTCACATGTTTGATTCAGGCAACATTCGGGTAGGCCTTCGTACTTTGGAAGTATTTGGTGAATGTATGGGAACTAAAAACAAAATTTTAAACAGCTATGGGTTGAAAGGTGTGTCATATGCAGACATGTCTGGCTTATAAGGGGGAGATTTAAATTATTTCAAAAAGAAATTTTTGCCTATAACATATGTTAAAGACACACGATGTATAACCTAACTATACCTGTAGCTACTATTAGCATGTCAACATATATAGGACAGTGAGATCACGTAAGAATCAAAGCTCAAAGAATATGCCCAGAGACTCCAGCATAAATTTTACATGTATCAGAATCCTCAAAGACAAAAGGTAACAGACAACAGACATAAAAAGCAATTGAAATGTAGTAGTGCCACATATTCTGGTACATACCAGTATAACATCTTGTCACAATCAACATTACCATGTACATTTGAAAACGGACGTGGAGTTTATTATACTTATTTAAATAATACTTAAAGGTAAAAAGTAAAAGTGTGTCCCAGAAGGCTTAAGCACAAAGCTTGTGTATTTTGTGTCTCATTTTTTCAAAAAGCATCAGCGTCCTAGCGTCCTGTAATCAGCACCCTAGTAAAAAATTGCTATTTTCTAATTTCAGCTTCAACCTTCTCTCCGTGAATTTTAGTGGGCAAAAATTAACAGTACAGACTGCAGCTGTAAGGTTTCCATTTCTGAAGAACTAGTCAAATAACGCCTGCTGTGTACGTTATCTAATGAATAATATAGATTACTGTTTTATGCATCAATGTCAGATCATCAGAGAGCATTGTTTACTAACAAGGAAGCTGCACGTGTTTCATTTTGACAGCCGGATATGATAAAAAATAAAGAATGGTAAAATATAGCAGCGCACAGATGCGGAAACTCTCGTAGACGTATGGCATTCATACAATTTTTTTGCTGTCATAAATCAAGAAAATACTAATGAAGTATTCATGTACACATTTTCAAGGTTGACATATCTCTCACTAAAGTCTCTAACATTCTCGAAATTCGTGGCACCCGACACGCCTTCTTTCTCCTCCCGCCACCGCTACCTGAGAGCTGAGAGTGAGGAACAAAAGCGCTTTTTACAACCTAGCTCGCCTTACAACAACATGTATCGACAGCTGTATCTTGCATTATTTGTGGTGATTTTAATAGCCACAAACACTGTCTATGTCTTAGCAGTAAGTATATATACTTATTTATGTATGTTAGTGTCTTTAATTCATTTACATCTCATTTATTGGTTGGCAGGTATGATAGAATGAAAGCGGTGCGCAATACGCATGTTGATATTACCTCCGCTCGTGCGCAATATACATGGTGGCAGGTATTATCGCGTGTCTTGTGCGATACTTTTTTATGACAGTTACTAGAAATAAAGATAGATTTCGTGAAATAAAGTGAGATGAAATAAAGTTTTGAAAAGATCGGATGGCGCGCCAGTATGAATTTCAATGGGTGCCGTAATTAATAAAATATTTTGCATATTATATAAATATTTTGCATATATTATTATATATATTATACATTTTAATTTGAAATTATGTCCAAAGTGCACTTTTATAATTCTTATGATTTTATAATTTTACAATATTTGTAATTTTGGTGTAAAAAAAAAAAGGAAAAAGAAGATTTTTCAAAAAAAAAAAAAAAAAAAAGATTGGTTCACTTCACAATTGGGGGCCTGTATCTTACCGAAAATATTTTAGTTTATATATAGAAATCTTATTATATCAAGATAATAGCCCATTATGGTTAGTGGTAGCATCATGCTCTGACACTTTTTAAAGGAATAATAACTTAAATTTGTATGAGATTCATATTTAACAACATGCATTATAAACAACTCATAGAAATTTAATAAATTCCATTTTACCACCGAAACAGCAGTTATCACAATTATTCTGAAGTCTGTACTTGCAATTATTCTGGAATCTTTGCTTGCCATCAGACCCCATGGGCCGTCATAGATAGGGATATTTTTGTGATAAAAAAGTCTTAAGAGATAATAACAATAAACCAAATTTCAAATGGAAAAAATTAATTTCAAAACGGTTTCACTAACCAATGGTAGGTAACAAAAGAAGACTGTAGACTATAGAAGACACCAGAACTGTAAAAGTCCCATAGAAATTAATGGCAAAACTGTCAAACAGGTCTGTGAATATAAATTACTGGGTGTCCAACTGAACAATAGACTAAACTGGAGTGATAACACCACGAAACTACTGAAAAAGGACAAGATGGCAAATGTACTTTTTGAGGAAACTGAAAGCTTTTACCAGGAATGTGTCTATTTTAAATAACAAACTTCTATAGGTGTGTTTTAGAAAGTATTTTAACTTATGCAGTAACTGTTTGGTATGGGCGTGCAACTGTACAGGATAAAAACCAGCTCTTATCCTATTCCAAGTTTTATGTATCTTTTTCATGTTTATTTGTAGTGGGAGTGACTCACCCCCAACAAAACATGGTCCTGACACTAGGGCCAAGTGAACTGTCACAAAATATTGATCAGCTCCTGTTTTCTGGGTGACTTACAGCAAAGTTGTCTCACTGGGGCATGTACAGTATACTATGATGGCTTTTAGATAAATGTTACTCAGTCTGCATAAAAAGTAGATCATTTCAGTTGACATGATTACATATAAGATGAGCAATATAGATTTACAGTCGAGTTCATTGTTGGGGCAGCCAGGTAAAAGAACACCATTCAGATACAAAAACAAAATCTAGTGTGTTATCTGCAAATAATACAATGTCAGAATAATTTTTTCTGTGATTGGAATATCTATGAGTGTTTGTCTGACCTTTGAAATTTTATTTGGCTCCACATTACAAAGCCAGCCCTAGAGGAAAAAAAACATGATAAGAAGACAGATGTCTTTTACTGAGGCAGACACGGTGCCTTGGGCCTTGTGTGCAAATAACAAAACAATAATAATATGACAGTGCCAACAAAACCAGTGTCCATGTATGTGCTAAACCTTTTCTATGGCGAGACATAATTGGCTATTATTACAACTGTATTTCTAAAGCAGGGTGATGTGAGGACAGTGATAACATTTTGTGAACAGAGTCATATATAAGAGTCTTATGTACCTGGCACTAAATTTATATTGATATACATGATGATAACCTAATGGAGAAGTCTTTTTAAAGCTACAATTTCATTGTCTCATAATTCACTGAACAGGCACACAGCCTTTAATCCATTACATTTTGTCATACTATACATGGAGTAAGCAGGAGGCACTTAAATAATTGATGAATATACAGTGTATATATATAAGTATGCAAAAAGATCAATGCACTGCCTGGCTTCAGAGCTAGAGACAGTTTCCAGGCAAATTGAATTGACTTAAATAGGTAGGTATGACAATTAACATCCTAATTGTATTTCCATGGTGTCACCTAGCTGGGAGAGGAGGGGGGGTCTGTTAACTCTTGGTGTCCTTTGTTTTAATGACAGCTGTGAGATACCAGAAAGCCTTCCAAAGGCAGATCAGCCCAATTTAATTGGAAACACACATATATCTTACAGCTCTTTAAAATTTTCAGGTTTGATTATTACTTGGTTGCAAACCCTCACTTCCATGAACTTCTAGGTAAACTTGTCAGTTGTGGCTGGCAAGCATTTTAATAAAAAAAAACTCAGATGCAAGTTATGCAAAACTTTTTTTTTCATTTCTTTCTGAGATCTCTGTAAGTCTTCATTGAATATTCTTTAAATGATAGTGGTGTATCACGTACTGCATGATTATAGATACATGTAAAAGCATATATATTACTTGTAAAAATGTAACAGATTTTAATGAGGTGGATGCACTGGTATGAAAATATATAATATTGTAGAATTTTCAGTATCACAGTATACATTTTTTGGTAAAACTGTTATTTTGTTGTTGTGGCAAAAATGAAAATTATATAATTTTGTAAAAATGTAACAGATTTTAATGAGGTGCATGCACTGGTATGAAAATATTATATCATATTGTAGAATTTTAAGTATATCACAGAAAACATATTTTGGTAAAACTGTTATATTTTGTTGTTGTAGCAAAACAATACAACGGGCTCCGTTGCTCCTGGGGGTCCAGTGTCCAGTTATAGTACTGTCCTGACTGCCGTCCTGGTGGCCGCCATGTCCAGTCTCTGCGCTTTGTTTCATTAAGACTGATCGCTATGTGACCTCCTTCACTTCAGGTACTGTGTCATGGTAGTTATGGCAACAGAATGTTTGACTGACTTCCTGCCTTAATTGTGTATACATGGATATAATATAAATACAGCAAGTAAAGTCATCAGCTCCATTAAACATTTTTTTACTGAGATAATTGAGATAAAAAACTTAAGGCATGTGTTATTGAATAGTAAATTGTTTTTAATTACCGCTTTCTTTCTTTATGGTGAAATGAGGTGTTAAATGTTGTCCATTGATTGAATATTTTCAGTGACCCTTACCAAAAAATCCTATAGGGTTCTGTAGGAAATTGCCCCAATTTCCTAAAGGATCTTATAAGATCTAATAGGATCCTATAGGACTTTTTCCTAAGGGGAGTGAGATGTGCTTGTGTGCATGAACTGATTGAGATTCTATGTTTGGGCCTCTTTGTCAAACCATTTCTTTTTCATTTTAGCTTTAACAGCTTGGAACATCCCAGAAAGTATATATTAATTGGACCAGGCTTGTGTGAACAAATCTTGATGTGCTACATGTGATGTACAACAGACTCTACACCTCAGTGGAGGCACTCCAGGTCAAAAGGAACAGTTTTTGCTGCAGACATGTTGTTGTTGTTGTTCAGGTGCAGCCTGCAGGTAGCTTAAATTAACATACAAGTTCTTTATAAGACAACAGGAAGTTACAGGCTCTGAGCAGTCAGCATGTAGTAACATAGATCTCCATAAGACCAGAGGAAGATACCTGCCAGGAACAGTCAATATGGACACCAACCACAGAGAACACAGTAATAACAGGTCTAAGCTCCCCTCTTGATAACAAGGGTATATCCGTTTGATTTGAAGCACCATATTTATGTGAAAGAGAATGAATGAATGGTACTTGAACTATCAGCCACTTAATTTAACAGCATTTCTCTCAAGAATTAACTCTAAAACTGTTCATAGAATGTCAGAAAGCAGCAAAAAATGTTCCTTTTTAGCCTTTCATGGTATTTTAATAACTTATTTTTAATATTGTCATAGATTTTAAAATGATACATTTTATTGTCAAGAAAAACTTATTGTTTTACAGGTAAAAGTGATAATTCCCTTATATTTTATTAATAGTACATACTGTTTTTTTTCCATGAATGTAAAACAAAACCTTTTTTAAAAATGTGTGCAATTTGTAATGTACTTAGAACATATTCAGTTCTTAAATAACTGAACTTTGAATGTTGAGATTCCGCTATCTAATTATAGCACTGTCGATTGGTGTTTCTTAATGCTGTAATATATGGCTACATAACATGCTTGACCAGCGTTCCAAGCCACTTGACCAAACCTGCTACAACCATGGGGAATGAGCACCACCAGAACATTCTCTGCTCTCAGGGATGACAATGAGCCATTAATTCAACCTTTAGGAAACGAACAGATACGATTATATGAAGCAAATTGATTTGGATTGTAGCTTTTCTTAATTGTTTAAATAGATGGAAATTTCAAATGATTTTATTGCTTTGTCTCCTTGAATATGTTCAGTATCCTATTGTATTGATCCTCACTTGCCAGCTGCCGGCTTTCACATTTGCATATCTGGAATAAATGTTCTTTGTCCTACTGCTATCTCTTGTCTCAGTTCTCCCACTGGTTAGCATGGGCACATTGTATCATTTTGATAATTAAAGTATTATGAATGCATATGGTATAAAAAGCCCCCAAAGCTGACACATACATGTACAGGTATATACTGACATTAAGTGTAAAAAAATGAGGAAAAGTATCCACGGGAGTCTTGAATAATAAAGATCGCAAGCTATGATACAGAAAATATGGACTTGATTAAATGCAAGTATATTTAATGAGGGTGTTTCATGTAGTACAGTAAAATAATCTGTCAATTTGTTCTACGCTTCATTTATTCTAATCATAACACCGACTGAAGGGGAAATTGTCCATGGAAATTTACATATTTCCCACATAACAGTCCAGTCACTACATTTTTAACATTTTCTATCAAATGTCAAGAACAAAATTGCATTTATATCAGTGTATTGTCCAATTACTATCACTAGTGGGCTAGATTTGGTCTTAAAGTGCAATTTAAGTTCACAAGTGATCTTACACGATCTTAATCATTACAGCAGTAGTCTTAAAATGGACTGAATCTGCTTTTAAGATCAAAAATGATCTAACATCTACTTAAGTGGTCAAGCAGTTTCCTCCCCTCACAATGGGGGATACCTCCCCTCACAATAGAGGACACCTCTGCTCACAATAGGAGAATGTGTAAGGGGAGACAATTTAATATTTGCACTTTAAGACCAAATCAAGCCCACTAGTGTATGGTTTTTTAACCTGACCTGCATTTTTACAGCAATTTTGGTAAATCCTAACAAGATTATAACAAATAAAACTTGCCAATAAATTTAAGATAAAACAAACAAACAAAAAAAAACAATGTGAACACATTTAATAATTGTTGCTACAGGGATTACATGGGCACCCAGCAGTGATCAGATGATTTGTCTGGCTTTATAAACATAAGGCTTCCTGGAGATAGAACCAACTCTTTCTGCCAGATGAGTCAAGTATAAAAGAAAACTGAAATCACCCGATGTATTTCAATCATATCTCCGTTCAGCATTAATAAAATAGCAGTTAATACTTGATGTGTCTCATTCCATTAGGACCCATATGTAACTGACATTGGCCCCCATTTTCTATGCACCAACATCAGCATTTTGAACATTTGATTATTGATTTTTTAAAAGTACCAGTATGTTTTATTACATTGTGCCATTTTATTTTATTTATCTTTATTGTTATTATGTTGTAATGTAGAGTGGGGTTTGGACAATGTTAATTACAAAAAGTAAAATATTTTCTGAAGGGTTTTACTTGAAGGCAAGCTTAGACTTCAGAACTGAAAGTGAAAAGTGTGCGCAAATAGAAATCTCAGCTTACATAAAACCCTTCAGCTTTTAACTCCCATGTTTCCTCTCTGAGACGATGGCTCTTAACAGGTATTGATCAGTGTTGACAGTGAAGCTGGAAGTTACCTGCAGTGAGTTTGATCTCATTTACCGAGCTCTGCCAGACACTGCAGTACACTTGACTGTGATCATTCCTGGAGTAACTCTATCAGACTAGTATAAAATGGCAAATACCATTTCCATATCTTCATAACAATTTGCTAAAATGAGCAAAGAGAATTCTTAGTGCAGATGTTCTCCAAGCCAGAAAAACAAAAAAATATATAAATCTATGGCTTAGACGGCCTGATTACTGTACAACTTTGATCAATCACTTTTATAACACAGGAAATAGTTAATTGACCAATCAATACATACAAGGTACTACAGCCCCATTTCTAATCAAGTCACCGGGTAAAAATCAGTTGGTCGATTTGCCGTAGTTGTACACGTAAATTGATTAATCAGATGATGGACATCACTTATAGATTCTTCTCCAGCCATGTCTGGGTCATTGACAGCTGTCCACAGTCTGTTTGCCCCAATTTTTAATTGAAAGGGACGATTCAGCACCCTGGGTTTCAAAAGCCACTAGCTACAATGTAGAAAGCCACCTCTGTTCCAATGAAAAAGGAGTAATTTTCAGTGACCTAAGGCAAACTTGAGTGAAAATAGTGGAAAGTACTCAAAGTTATTTAATCAGCATTAGATAACATATATCCTTTAAATTTTTTATATCTACATGTCCTGAAAAACTTTCTCAATTAAGACCTTAAAATGCTACCAGATCTCCATATTTCCTTCTAAAATGATCAGCAAGACAATGGCAGTCTAAATGATAGCCAGTCATTAATAAGAACTAAATTATCTTATGATAAAGGGTCTAAAACATGCAATCCAAGTTTAGGGAGGGGGATGAGCAATGGGTTGAATGCATTAGTGGGACAAAATCGATTAGATTGGCATCTTATGTTTAGAAATGATAATCAGTTTGCTAAGGTAGAATATGTTCTAATTTGAGCTGTTACAAGTTGACTGAAAATGTTTCCCATGTAGACTGAAATGTGTGTCATTAATGTAGAGTGAAGAACTCAAGGGAAATCCTCTCTCACTAAGTTCAGTCTTGCATGTCTGATTATTTAGGTAGTGGGCTTTATTATCTGCAAAACATTGATCCTTGTCCTACAAAATTGAATGGATATCCAGGCACTGCTAATGTAACTAATACAAACGGATCTCTTCTAGAACAATAAATCAGATTTTTTCTCTTCAGTTTGCACTACTGTATACAACTACTGGTATATATATGTAGGCTGTCACTTCTTAAAGCAATCAAAGTATGTCCATCCTGCCCCCCCCCCCCCCCCCCCCCNCATATATTACTTGTAAAAATGTAACAGATTTTAATGAGGTGGATGCACTGGTTTGAAAATATATAATATTGTAGAATTTTCAGTATCACAGTATACATTTTTTTGGTAAAACTGTTATTTTGTTGTTGTGGCAAAAATGAAAATTATATAATTTTGTAAAAATTTAACAGATTTTAATGAGGTACATGCACTGGTATGAAAATATTATATCATATTGTAGAATTTTAAGTATATCACAGAAAACATATTTTGGTAAAACTGTTATATTTTGTTGTTGTAGCAAAACAATACAACGGGCTCCGTTGCTCCTGGGGGTCCAGTGTCCAGTTATAGTACTGTCCTGACTGCCGTCCTGGTGGCCGCCATGTCCAGTCTCTGCGCTTTGTTTCATTAAGACTGATCGCTATGCGACCTCCTTCACTTCAGGTACTGTGTCATGGTAGTTATGGCAACAGAATGTTTGACTGACTTCCTGCCTTAATTGTGTATACATGGATATAATATAAATACAGCAAGTAAAGTCATCAGCTCCATTAAACATTTTTTTACTGAGATAATTGAGATAAAAAAACTTAAGGCATGTGTTATTGAATAGTAAATTGTTTTTAATTACCGCTTTCTTTATTTATGGTGAAATGAGGTGTTAAATGTTGTCCTTTGATTGAATATTTTCAGTGACCCTTACCAAAAAATCCTATAGGGTTCTGTAGGAAATTGCCCCAATTTCCTAAAGGATCTTATAAGATCTAATAGGATCCTATAGGACTTTTTCCTAAGGGGAGTGAGATGTGCTTGTGTGCATGAACTGATTGAGATTCTATGTTTGGGCCTCTTTGTCAAACCATTTCTTTTTCATTTTAGCTTTAACAGCTTGGAACATCCCAGAAAATATATATTAATTGGACCAGGCTTGTGTGAACAAATCTTGATGTGCTACATGTGATGTACAACAGACTCGATCTACACCTCAGTGGAGGCACTTCAGGTCAAAAGGAACAGTTTTTGCTGCAGACATGTTGTTGTTGTTGTTCAGGTGCAGCCTGCAGGTAGCTTAAATTAACATACAAGTTCTTTATAAGACAACAGGAAGTTACAGGCTCTGAGCAGTCAGCATGTAGTAACATAGATCTCCATAAGACCAGAGGAAGATACCTGCCGGGAACAGTCAATATGGACACCAACCACAGAGAACACAGTAATAACAGGTCTAAGCTCCCCTCTTGATAACAAGGGTATATCCGTTTGATTTGAAGCACCATATTTATGTGAAAGAGAATGAATGAATGGTACTTGAACTATCAGCCACTTAATTTAACAGCATTTCTCTCAAGAATTAACTATAAAACTGTTCATAGAATGTCAGAAAGCAGCAAAAAATGTTCCTTTTTAGCCTTTCATGGTATTTTAATAACTTATTTTTAATATTGTCATAGATTTTAAAATGATACATTTTATTGTCAAGAAAAACTTATTGTTTTACAGGTAAAAGTGATAATTCCCTTATATTTTATTAATAGTACATACTGTTTTTTTCCATGAATGTAAAACAAAACCTTTTTTATTCAAAAAAAATGTGTGCAATTTGTAATGTACTTAGAACATATTCAGTTCTTAAATAACTGAACTTTGAATGTTGAGATTCCGCTATCTAATTTTAGCACTGTCGATTGGTGTTTCTTAATGCTGTAATATATGGCTACATAACATGCTTGACCAGCGTTCCAAGCCACTTGACCAAACCTGCTACAACCATGGGGAATGAGCACCACCAGAACATTCTCTGCTCTCAGGGATGACAATGAGCCATTAATTCAACCTTTAGGAAACGAACAGATACGATTATATGAAGCAAATTGATTTGGATTGTAGCTTTTCTTAATTGTTTAAATGGATGGAAATTTCAAATGATTTTATTGCTTTGTCTCCTTGAATATGTTCAGTATCCTATTGTATTGATCCTCACTTGCCAGCTGCCGGCTTTCACATTTGCATATCTGGAATAAATGTTCTTTGTCCTACTGCTATCTCTTGTCTCAGTTCTCCCACTGGTTAGCATGGCTACATTGTATCATATTGATATTTAAAGTATTATGAATGCATATGGTATAAAAAGCCCCCAAAGCTGACACATACATGTACAGGTATACTGACATTAAGTGTAAAAAAAAAGTGAGGAAAAGTATCCACGGGAGTCTTGAATAATAAAGATCGCAAGCTATGATACAGAAAATATGGACTTGAATAAATGCAAGTATATTTAATGAGGGTGTTTCATGTAGTACAGTAAAATAATCTGTCAATTTGTTCTACGCTTCATTTATTCTAATCATAACACCGACTGAAGGGGAAATTGTCCATGGAAATTTACATATTTCCCACATAACAGTCCAGTCACTACATTTTTAACATTTTCTATCAAATGTCAAGAACAAAATTGCATTTATATCAGTGTATTGTCCAATTACTATGGTTTTTTAACCTGACCTGCATTTTTACGGCAATTTTGGTAAATCCTAACAAGATTATAACAAATAAAACTTGCCAATAAATTTAAGATAAACAAACAAAAAAAAAAACAATGTGAACACGTTTAATAATTGTTGCTACAGGGATTACATGGGCACCCAGCAGTGATCAGATGATTTGTCTGGCTTTATAAACATAAGGCCTCCTGGAGTGGAACCAACTCTTTCTGCCAGATGAGTCAAGTATAAAAGAAAACTGAAATCACCCGATGTATTTCAATCATATCTCCGTTCAGCATTAATAAAATAGCAGTTAATACTTGATGTGTCTTGTTCCATTAGGACCCATATGTAACTGACATTGGCCCCCATTTTCTATGCACCAACATCAGCATTTTGAACATTTGATTATTGATTTTTTAAAAGTACCAGTATGTTTTATTACATTGTGCTGAAGAGATGATGTACTTAAAACTCTGGCATAACTTAAAGCAAATAGGCAATTTTATTTTATTTATCTTTATTGTTATTATGTTGTAATGTAGAGTGGGGTTTGGACAATGTTAATTACAAAAAGTAAAATATTTTCTGAAGGGTTTTACTTGAAGGCAAGCTTAGACTTCAGAACTGAAAGTGAAAAGTGTGCGCAAATAGAAATCTCAGCTTACATAAAACCCTTCAGCTTTTAACTCCCATGTTTCCTCTCTGAGACGATGGCTCTTAACAGGTATTGATCAGTGTTGACAGTGAAGCTGGAAGTTACCTGCAGTGAGTTTGATCTCATTTACTGAGCTCTGCCAGACACTGCAGTACACTTGACTGTGATAATTCCTGGAGTAACTCTATCAGACTAGTATAAAATGACAAATACATTTCCATATCTTCATAACAATTTGCTAAAATTGAGCAAAGAGAATTCTTAGTGCAGATGTTCTCCAAGCCAGAAAAACAAAAAATATATATAAATCTATGGCTTAGACGGCCTGATTACTGTACAACTTTGATCAATCACTTTTATAACACAGGAAATAGTTAATTGACCAATCAATACATACAAGGTACTACAGCCCATTTCTAATCAAGTCACCGTGTAAAAATCAGTTGGTCGATTTGCCGTAGTTGTACATGTAAATTGATTAATCAGATGATGGACATCACTTATAGATTCTTCTCCACAGTCTGTTTGCCCCAATTTTTAATTGAAAGGGACCATTTAGCACCCTGGTGTTCAAAAGCCACTAGCTACAATGTAGAAAGCCACTTCTGTTCCAATGAAAAAGGAGTAATTTTCAGTGACCTAAGGCAAACTTGGGTGAAAATAGTGGAAAGTACTCAAAGGTATTTAAGCAGCATTAGATAACATATATCCTTTAAATTTTTTATATCTACATGTCCTGAAAAACTTTCTCAATTTAGACCTAAAAAAAGCTAAAACCTCCCAAAAAAGAGTACCAGATCTCCATATTTCCTTCCAAAATGACCAGCAAGACAATGGCAGTCTAAATGATGGCCAGTCATTAATTAGAACTAAATTATCTTATGATAAAGGGTCTAAAACATGGAATATGTTCTAATTTGAGCTGTTACAAGTTGACTGAAAATGTTTCCCATGTAGACTGTGAAATGTGTGTCATTAATGTAGAGTGAAGAACTCAAGGGAAATCCTCTCTCACTAAGTTCAGTCTTGCATGTCTGATTATTTAGGTAGTGGGCTTTATTATCTGCAAAACATTGATCCTTGTCCTACAAAATTGAATGGATATCCAGGCACTGCTAATGTAACTAATACAAACGGATCTCTTCTAGAACAATAAATCAGATTTTTTCTCTTCAGTTTGCACTATTGTATACAACTACTGGTATATAAATATGTAGGCTGTCACTTCTTCAAGCAATCAAAGTCTGTCCATCCTGCCCCCCCCCCCCCATACTTAATAAGTGATTACTTGTGGACAGCACAAAACAAAGCCACAAACAATAATCAATACAATGTACTACATGCATGTTCCATATTGATCATGCACTGTACAGACTCCACAGATATTAACACAGGTGCTCAACATTGTTCACAATGACCAAGTCCATAGATCAATTAACATAACATGGGGATTATGTCAAATAAGACAGCTTTTTAACATCAGGTGTTTGCAGGGGGGTGTGGAACTCTTGATAACACCTTCTAGGGAAGCAGACAGATATCCACATGTAATTCGTTTTTCAAACTGCACTGATGCATTTTTTCGAATTAATTGCAGAGTATTATGGGATACTGCAGTGGAACACACAAGACTCCATTTTTTTCTAGCGGTGATTGGCTTTGTTAAAATCATGACAGAAAACCTCACTGCCATGAGATTTTTTAACCAAGTTGCACAAAAATCATTTCAACGTATGCTATTATTTTTCAAACTAAATTACATGTAGAGCCTGAGAATCGGAAGACAGAGCAATAATCACATATAAATTTTCAGGTTTCAGATTATGAAACATGTACAGTACCTTAGCAGGAGGGGTATTAATAGGCTGAGTAAATTAACAAGATATGCTTGTTAACGGTAATTCGTAGTTCTGGCAAACAGCTGACAATTCTTTGTTTCTGACCAGTAGAGCTCAAGATTTGATTTCCATTGATGTGAGAGTTATATCTGAATATTTACACAATTCTATTCAGCATGAAAAGACATTTCAAGCATTCATATTATTGGATCAAATCAATAACACATAAAATGAGGGACAGGAGTGTCTTGGTTTTCTACAAAGCCAGGTTACAGCAGCATGAAACCTGGAGTCTAATCAAAAAAACAAAAATCAACCTTTTCCACAGCATGATGAAATACAGCTCAAGACAATTGCTAAAACATTTTCCATGAACAGGTTTTAATTAGTTGGGCAACAGATTATTTTGTAAAGAAGAATCAATATAATTTAGTCTGTCTGTGATGACATACTTAGTCTGTTCTAATACTTGAAACAGTGCCAGACATATCATCAATCTTTATTTTCATATTCTTCTTTGTATGTCAGCGTTTAATAAGCTCCCTGGAGTCTCAGTTTAGAATAATCAAATTGCTGCCCTTAACTTACAAAATTTGTTGTTGTTTTTAAGTAAATTAATGCCCACATATTACACTTTCCAGAATGCTTTTCAGAAAACCAATTCAAACAAACAAGAGATTAATTCAAAAGCAAGATTACTTTTAATAGCACTTTTTAAAAATTCAGCACAAAATATTGATGTGAATAAACCCAATGTATCCTACTAATTTTTCTTCTTATCATAAATCTCCAAGAATTCCATCCAAGCTGAGCCTAGGGAAATGCACTTGCTGTTCAAACCATCTTGCTACCGTGAGCAGTTTCTGTTCACTAAACATTGGTCCAATGAACTGTAGCCCTATGGGTACGCCCTCATCTGACAGTGAGGCTGGCACGCTGACTGCAGGCAGGCCTGTAGAGAAATGAAACAGTACAGTAGTAACCATTGGCTTTGTCTGTTTTATAATTTTCTCCTATACCATTTTTCTGCTGAAATTGGATCTCTTCTGTGAAATCCTGAGGTGCAAGTTATGGCTTTTGGACATCAATCTAATATTTCTAATGTACAAATGAAGGGTCATATTTGAGTGCATCACTTTTTTCAATCAAATAATGTAAATAATAAATATACGAGTGGACTACAGCTAGCAACTAGACCCATTACCTGCCATATTGATTGGCTGAGTAAAAACATCCTGTTGTTCTGTCCTAGTTCTGTTGTCTTCCCTCTTATACCAGCTATATTTAGGGGCGCCGGTCAGTGTGGTAGGGGTAAGTAGTACATCCACACCCACGGAGAACACGCAGGCAAAGTCCTCGCTGATCAGTTTACGCACCTTCTGTGCTTGGATAAAATAAGTGTCATAGTTTCTGAAATTAGTTTATACAAAATAAAATAATTATTCCAAAGTGAAGAATATAGAAGTATAATGCCGATTCACAAAACTTACTCCTATCAACAAAAATACTTTCTTTTTTAAACTTGTAGTATAAAACCTTAATTTTTCTAACAAACCTAAAGGCCAAGTGGGCAGCTTGCTGACTAAACTCTTGTTCAGCAGGTATGCAGGTATAATTATTCCAAAATGAAGAATATAATACTGATTCACAATTCTTATTCCTATCACAATTCTTATTCCTATCAACAAATATATCGACTTATTTTAAAAACTTATCGTAGTATAAAACCTTCATTTCTGTAACAAACCAAATACCAAGTGGGCAGCTTGCTGGCTAAACCCTTGTTAAGCAGGTATGCTGTGTCAGCACTATGAGACCAGTACTTACTTATTAAGTAAAAAATAGTTCCCTGCTAAGATTCTCCCCCTGACAACATCATTAAAGCCCTCATGTCTGCTAGCGGCATACAAAGCCTCTGTGGACGCGTCAGCATTCTGTGCCCTGTGACCTGCAATGGAGGCACAAAACATCACAAAAAATAATCTAATAATACTGGATATTAACTTGAGCTGTAGTCCTTGGAAAAAAATTGAGAATAATAAGTAAAATGGACTTCCTTTTACTGGTATGGTGTTAATGCTGACAGTGCACAAAATGTTTTCTTGTCAATATTTATCACAATATGACATATAAATGTTTTTATTATGTTAAGGAGGACAGTGCATGACAATGACAATGCTACTTATGAAAGAGGTTTTTCATCGTCTCTAGATAGGATGATAAAATAGAATTATTCTTTACTTAAAAGACTAAATAACAAACGTCAAATACATTTAGTCTCTAAGTAAAGAATAATTTTATCAATGGCAATGCTAGCTGTGATGCTAATGATGACAAAAAATGCAGGCGATGACAATAGATTTCCCGACATAAAATAAATTTCCAAATCCCACAAGGTTGTGATTACACTGGAATACATGCACTTGTCAATCTACAACTATTCATGCACGTCCACAAAACAGCTGTGCACGTCCACAAAACAGCTGGTTCATTTCATTACTATTGCACCCATCACTCCGATACAACCTCCACAAGTTTCCAACATCATAAATAAATACTTAAATGGCAATCAATAGATAACTAATTAAACAACTCAACGTATCATTTTGAATTGCAGAGGCCAGTTAGGCCTATGCTGAATGCTATATCATAATTGAACTATATCTTTTGACACTATATATTATTATTGTTATTATTATTACGTCTTAAAAAAACAGACTAACCAAACTCAATCCCATCATATCTTGCCATGTTGGAGGAGACCTCACAAGCACACAGTATAGAGTAGCAGACGATGGAGAAGCGAGTGTGTGGCAGAGACACCTCACTTACTGTGGCGCCATGAGCTTCAAACAGGTCAGCGGCTTTGTCCCAGGCCGACAGGACATCAGACGCCAGACCAGGGGCATGATACTCCTAAAAGAGAGAAAGTTGAGGGGTATAACAGTGAGATTAGGGGCATGTAGCTCACTTTAAGTTTGTTTTATGTCCAACAACCACGTGACTTAGTATATCCACTATTATTTTTTCTCTTTCTCTTAAAACGTCAGCTGTAGTTATCAGAATTATAGTTTTATTTTTATTCAAAATCCAATGTGTTAAATCTTATTTCAAAATCCCAAGCTTGACATACAGAAATAATGTTATTGAAATGTGACAGCTAATTATACCTTCGGTATTCCTATATGCAATCCTTTTAGAGAGATTTTCTCAGGAAAATCTACAGCCAGTACAGGTTTGTAGGGGTCAGTCATAGTTGTGGAGTCATGGACGTCATGGCCAGCTAAAACATCTGTAACAAGTGTGACAAATGTTGACCTTCATAAAATGTTGACCTTCATAAAATTATGAGATTTGACTTGTTGCACCATTTACTATTAAAACTTACATCAACAATGTTTTCTTTGTACAATATGAGAAAGACAGAGTAAACACATTATTGAATGTATGACTCATTAACAGCACAGGTTCTAAAAGCACTCACTTAACATGATCACAGTGTCATCTACTGTTTTGGTTAAAATCCCAGGTACGTCCAGAGAATTGACTAAAGGTATCAGTCCATACCGGGACAGCAGGCTATAGGTGGGTTTAAAGCCCACAACACCACAGTAGGAGGCGGGAATCCTCACAGAACCTCCCGTGTCAGAACCCAGTGCTCTGGAAGAGAATCTGCTAACTGCACTTCATTCCATCATTTGAATTATTACTACTTCTATCACTAATACTAATATTATTAAATGAAAAGTTGATATTCAACATAATATGAAAATGTGCATCTTAAATAAATAAAGAGATTTAAGTTCACATAGGTCCCAAAGAGAGATGGATTAAACTTCTGACAACATGCAAGTTATTCTGTTAATAATACACTGACAGAATCATTTAAACTGGGTCTGATATTATCCATGTTCATAAACATTACACAATAAAATTCTTTCATTCATCTGAATCTACTAGAAACCTACGCAAAAGCTGTCCCCGTTGCTACGGCTACAGCACTGCCTCCTGAGCTGCCCCCACTCACGTACCAATCACATTCTTCTGACCTCGTGTCACTGACATCCATGTCTTCAGGAATACCAGATGACCCGTTTTGACCGTTCGTACTATCAGAGTTTTTTATACTTTCACTTTGAATATTGTTTTTGTGATTTGCACTATTTCCTTTATTTGAAAATCTTAAACTTTGTTTGTTCAGGTCATCTTGTTTGTTGGCCTCGTAATTTTGAAAAGTATACTTCCAAGGGTTCCTCACTGGTCCATAGACACTGTCCAGGCTGCCAGACCTGCAAATCAACAATCAGTAACACTTCAGCCAATATGGCAAATTAAGACATAAATAAACAGGCCTACAGCCACCCATTTTAGAGTAGGTTCTTTTTCTGTAAAAGTGGACCATATAACCCTCTTGGTTGATCCTACTTTAGAAATGGCATGGAGCCTAGATCAAATTTTGATTCAGAGTTTTACAGAGGTGGTCCTTTGTATCTCCCTCATCCCCTTAATTGCAAAAACTCTCTGATACCACAACATATTACCACCCACACATGCGCTTACTGACCCCATAGCAAATTCATCTAAGTTTGTCTTTCCCATCATGACAGCGCCTTGGTCCAGCAGCCTCTGTACCATGGTAGCATTATAAGGAGGAACATAGCCTTTGAGGATCGCAGACGCACAAGATGTCTGCACGCCCAAGGTGGAGAAGTTGTCTTTCACAGCGACTGGGACACCATCTAGAATACCTAGAGAGGAGCCTGGAAAATAAGCATGTTACAGATATAGAAAGACAACCTAGAAAAAAATTCAATTCTTACCTTAGATTCAATTTAACATAATGAAGAAATACATAATTAATTGATTACAAGAGCATCATCAGGCTGAACAAGACAAGAGCAAAACATACATGTAGCTGTTTCACAAATATATTTTGTCCCAAAGTTAGTGACAATTATCACTAAAATGTTATTAAATGGAAATTCTCGGAAAAAAAAACAATCAAACAAATTAGGTAAAAATATGGTTCCAAAGTAATACCAGTGATTTATTTGTTGGTGCATAATTAGTATAAAGAATTTCTTACATTATACTGTATTCTTTCAGTAATAAATTATATCTAATTAATCACTGTACCAGTGGGATACTTGATTACAATAAAATTTTTATGTTTATCATAAACAGTAACCCATCCCCCCACCATACACATCAAATATTGTCAGGGCAAAAAGCCTTAACTCTTTTAAGAACAGATTAGACAAGTGGTGGGATGACCAGGAACTCAAGTATGACGATTATAGGTCCGAAATTAACATCATCGGAAGTCATAAGTTAGTTTTGGAAGAAGAGCCTAATAAAGAAGATCCAGTAGGAACCAGAATCGGAAATCAACGCTAAGTAATGCTAAGTAAGTAAATTTAACTATTATCCTATCACCAATGTTTGAAAATGTCCTGAAGTCATATCTCTGTCTTAATATCCCACAGAGATCTTTCCCAATACAGGCCTACAAGAATGGAAATCCCTCAAACAAAAGTGCATGACACTATATTTCTTTCAGATTCTGAAATACCAGGAAACTGATGGTAGCCTAAATGATTCATGATTCATTTTGAGGTACACTGTAGGTTCTTTAGTTAAAAGTGGTTAATAAAAACATTGAATCCAAGAGCAAAAACAGGTCAGGAAAATTATTTTTAATCAGGAGAAATTATTTTTTTCCTGAGAAAAAATTAAGACTCCATGCCAGAATTTATGATAGGATAAAGCTAAATTGTTGCCATTTAACATAATTGTTCTAATTGTTTTTGATTTAAAGTTTTAAAATCATGTTCACTGTCAATTAAAGCAACAATATATAAGTTGTCTACAGACCTACCTGATAGCTGTCTTGCCTGTGACTCACTAGCTTGACTTCTGGCAATATCTAATGTCTCTGTGATGAAGCTATTAAGTTCTCTGGTCTTCTGCACACGTCTGATACACTTCTCACACAACTCCTTGCTCTGAATACTGCCATTGCGTAAGCTGTTTATCACCTGCAACAAGCCATCAATATAAATAACAGTACATGAAAATAATTCTTAATGCAAACATAACAAAGCTGCATTAATTTGTTACTTGCACAATACACTGGTATGTAATCCTACAAAATTTTCTGTTTTACATTTTAATGGCAGGTATTACAAAATTTAAAACATAAATAAGTAGAAAATGTGGAAAAATTAGTTTTTAGGAATTTCCCTACTGTTTAAAGATCTGAGATGTAAACTAAATATAACAGTAGAACAGAGCGACTTGCCTTATAACTACGGTGTATAGCTACAGTAATATTTTACTGAATAGTATTTCTACAACCCCAAAACATAGAGGTTCTTTATTGATACACCTTCACATATAAGGTACAATCAAAGACAATACATCTATAACAGTACAAACAAGTAAATGAATAAATATACATGACTTCAATGTTTACATGTAGAACAATACCAATAAGTTAGTTTTAACTTAAAAGAAAAAAAAAGATATATATATGAAATGTATAATGATAATCTATAGGCGATGAATTTGAATAAATACACTGGAAAGTGTACAATGTATTAAGATAGGGCCTGTTCTCTCTGTTGAAAGCATCTATTTACAAAACACATGACCATTCTAAGAATATCTATGTCCAGAGCACCCATAAGAAATTTAAACAGTTCATTATTGCTGAGGTCGCCTAGGGGTAGGAACTCTGACAGCTGCCCTCTGAAGGGATCTCTTATTGAATCATATGCTTTGCACTCTAGCAGGAGGTGGAACTCATCTTCTACTTTATTCAAATCACAAAGTTTACAAAATCTCAACTCTGCAGGGATTTTTGGCTTGCAGTACCTGCCCCGTTCAATAGAGAGATTGTGGGCGCTCACACGTAATTTGCAGAAGTAAGCTCTGATATTTTTTGGGGCCATGTGGGTGTAATTTTCACACACAAATTCCTTCTTAAATTTAACATAGGTTCTTCTATATGTACAAGCTTAGCACTTGAAGCAATGGCGAATTATCAAGGCTTACATGTGTTTACTAAGGTTAATAGCAATAAGACATTACAAAAGCCCTTGTGCATCAAGTGCATTTTACATTTTTGCTTGCACTTTCCACACAAATAATGCACCACCTCTTTCAAAGAACTTGACAGCATCATCCACTGCTGTATTTCACTGCTTTTAAGCTCTACTTTCACGTGTTTACAGTCAACTTTGCCGGTATGTACTATAGGTGACGCTGCATGTAAATACGAAACTTTGATAACAAATCTTTAAACGGGTTGAGTTGAATTTATTCTTGTATAAACCACATGCCTTCAAACTTGAAATTTAAATTCAAGTTCTATCAAAAATAATGCAATAACTTTATTAGAAATGCATAAAGATTAAAGAAATCTGGTTAAAGAGTAAAGTGATGTGTACTGCCATCTATCGGCAAAATTTAGAAAACACGTTTTATAAGCAAGCTGTCAACACGGAGGGAGACCGCAGGTAGAAAACACATTTAAAGTACTTTGACACCTGAATGTCAACTCTTTTGTAAATGGTTATGCCTTGCAATAGTTATTTTTTACTGATGATAGAAACTCGGTTGCGTTGATTCACCACTCAACGGAACCACCGGTAACTTTTCACATATTTATTTGTCGTTTTGTGTCAAAATCGAGCACAGGACAAGACGCAGGAACGATGAGTAAAGCACTGGGCACATCCTTAAGCAGGTCTCTGCACTACAGCTGCAAGCTAAGACACCCTTCGTGTTGTGAACTGGTGCCTCGTGTGTGGAGAAGATCCGGGGGTGTACTGTCTGTGCAATGCCGAGCATTCAGTAAACGGATTCCTGGCAGAATGGCAACTTGGCAGATTCACAGATATGGAGGAAATGAGGAGCTAGAACTGACAAAAACGCACAGAACACCAATGATTAGGAATCCAGATGAACTGCTAATAGAGGTCCACGCTGCCAGTGTCAATCCCATTGATGTACGAATGAGAGGTATAGATTTAGAGAAAAGGTTTTTCACTTAAATATAGAATAAATTGATACTCTTATAAGATTACATTTCTCTGACATGATATGCAAGCCTTGTGTTTAAGGGCATGATATATCACTACAGCTAAATAATTGTATAATGAATGCTGAGATAAATTGAACTGTCAGTTTTTACCTCCTAATACCGGGTACTTGATGATGTGCTGTAAAGAGATTGCTGTTTGTTAGCAGAAGATGCAATTTGTAGTCAATTGTCACCGATGATTTTGTAAATATTTCAGCTGGCTATGGATCCAGTATTTTAAATTTCTACAGAAGGCTACGATGCTCACTGAGTTCTGGGTCAGAGTTTCCTCTGTCTCTTGGCCGGGACTTCTCAGGTGTGGTGGTGGCGACAGGAGTGGGTGTGAGGAGATTCAAACCAGGAGATGAGGTAGATTAACACCTTGTCTGCCAGAGATGGCCAGTTCCTAGAGCCTTTTAATTAGGATAGCCTTATTAAAAGTCATGAACATGTAGTAAAAAAAATTAAGGCAGAATAAAAATACAATACTTCATGTAATGGTGCACTCGTAACAAAAACTGAGATATTTTTATCTAAGTGATAAGATCTTTTTTTTTAATCAAGGTGTGGGGAGCCCTTGGTGCCCAAAGACAAGGAGCACATGCAGAGTTCACTGTATCATCAGAGAGTGAGGTGAGGGTTCAGGAGTAATACTGATGACCATTTAACCAAACTCATTGAGAAAACTGAAATATGAGTTAGTATTAGTAACCACAAGAGGACTGAAGACTACCTACCTACAGATGACATATTTATCTATATTATGGTTCAACTCTGTTCTCAGATCTCACTGAAACCCAAGAGATTGTCTCATATAGAAGCAGCCTCCATACCCTATGCTGCCATGACAACGTGGGCAGCAGTTTCTACCATTGGAGGCCTGAATGAACACAATACTGCAGGAAAAAGGTAGAGCAAGGAGGGTTTTCTTAGTCTTCATTTTTGAAATACTCAAAAAAAAAAATTTAATTGTCACATACCCACATACAGTAAGGTAAATTTTTATACCTTCTAAATCAAATCCTCAGTTTCATATGTTTACACCTTGGAATTTGTTTTGGGGAAGACTAAAAATTGAGTTTGAAAACGATTGAAATGTTTTAATCTTTTCTATCCTCCTTCAGGGTGTTGATTTATGCAGGTTCAGGGGGAGTGGGAACTTTTGCAATACAAGTAAGTGAATAAAAAACCATCACACTGAGCAGTGTAATAGAAAACCAAGCACAGGTGGAAATATGGTATGAGTATTAAAATACTCATTTTGCTATACTGGGTTTTTAATTGTTCTAAGATTACACACTGTAAACATCTAAAGATGTGGCCCATACTTAGTACGTTCCCTCAATAGATATTTATTCTCATTATTTCTCTGTCAGCTCCTCAAAGCCTGGGGTGCAGAGGTGACAACCACCTGTTCCACCGACGCAGTGCCTCTGTTGCTGTCACTGGGTGCTGATAACGTGATAGATTACAACACACAAAATGTCACTGAAGAACTTACACGGCTGTCAGGGTAGGTGACATTGTTACAGCCACCACAGTTCTAACACTCCCAGTTATGTACTAAATTGGAGCTATTGAAATACATATGATCTCTTATCATGTGTTTCTGGAACATTTTGATACAAAGGAGGAAAAAGTTGAAGAAGAGTTTGTTGAACTGAATCAGCTCCATTTCTTTTCTAATAGCCTGTTATCATGAGGCAAAGACCTTTCGCATTCATTTTGATTTTTAATTGTATTTTTCTGTTGCTTAAAAATGCAAGAAAAAGTTACTTAAATTTAGCAAAATGAAGAAAAAAATTATTTGTGCCTGTATGCCAAAATTTTACATGTGATACCAAGTTGTATGTTGTTATGCATGAAAACCAATGTGTTATAATAGTAGTAGATATATCAGAACAGGGTCACCTGGAAGGTTTATTTTGTTAGGTTTGACCTGGTGCTGGACACATTGGGTGGACAGGTCACTAAGGAGGCCCAGCAGTACCTGAACACCTGGAGGAATGCCTCAGTGGTCACTGTTGTTCACAACTTTCTTAGAAACGGGGACACCCTCGGCGTTCCAGCAGGCTTTGTGAAAAGTGGAACTGAGCTAGCCTGCAAAAATATTCAGGTAAATACATTTTAGGCCAGATGTTTTGACAAAAATATTTTCCAGTTCACTGGCCATTCATTCACATGCTTTATAGCAATTGCTTCTGAAATGTTTAATATGTACATTTTTTACTGCATTGTGCATGTTGCACAGTATAAGTGCTTTAGAAAAAAACTTCTCTTCCAGTTTTTCCAAAGTGGCCAGTCTTTAAGATGGGCTGTCTTCATGCCAAATGGTGAGGCCCTTGAGAGAATTGCAACCCTAGTTGATCAAGAACAGGTAAACATAAATCCTGAAATTGTTTTAGTTTTCAGGATTTTAATTGATTTGTACAGTTTTGGTCCGTATCAGGAAAATTACAGAATACTTTTCAGAAGACAAAAAAAGGTGATGTTGAATTTTCTATGAAAAAATTACCAAGATATTAATTTAAATATATTATGGGATAATTACAAAAACAGTATTCTGTTATAGTGTGTGGTTTGCACTATATACAGTCTGCATTGGACACTAGACTTACTTGATAGGAGGGATGTGACTTAGACCCCATTCCCATAGATATTTAGATCGATCTATCCCCCTGGGGAGTCTCACGAGATTGGTGTCAGCTTAACAGGCTTAAATGTCTGTCCCGCCTACTAAAAGCTGTAAGGGGGTAATTAACTATGGTGCACACTCGGCTGACTGCAATTTAGCGTGAACCCCCAGATCGATCTAAATCTCAGGGAATGCACCCTTAGAGAAGGATAAATTGTAATTTTGTTTCTTACATTTACTTGTTTACCTTCACAGATCAGCCCAGTCATTGAGAAGATTTATGGCTTTGAAGAGTTGCCAGAGGCATTTGACAAGGTTTCTGGTGGGCATGCTAGGGGAAAAACTGTAATAGACATCAAAGAGAGAGCTAGACATCAGGAGACGGACACACTGAATGATGAGAATGTGGCAGCTTCTGTGGCATAGGAACAGTAAAGCTGGTGTTACAGTAACAAAAACTTGCCATTAGTTATGTCAAGAATTGGTTTTGTGGGCAGTGATATTTTTTACCTGCTAATGTTAAAGGAATGTTGTGGATGAATGTGCACAAGCATGGTGTTATACTCCTGTGTCCACTCTGCTGAAGTCTGAACACTTAAATAGAGAAAAATCTAGTAGTAAGACGCCGATTACCACCATGTTTTTTTTATGCTGTAGGTAAAGTTTGTACAGTGATATCGCAGACAACATATACCCAAAGATGTTATGTGCTCGATGCGATATATACGCTTTATTTGGTGTAAGGGGTGTTTTTCGATGAAATGTGAACACTGTTCGTATGTACATCAAATAACATGCTGTCACTGCCGCAAATGCTGAGAAGTGTTCTGGCACATATTGCTCTGGTGAATGTGTTACCGTATATCTCACATGTACATGATATAAATATTTGTTACCGACCACAAAACCCTTCTTATCAGAATTTTTCTCTTAATTAACTTTTATGTAGTTGCCATTCTCTTCAAAGTAAATCACGGAAAGTTTCCAGAAAACAGGACATACCTTTATGGACCTATTGCTCAAAAATTAAAGAAGGTTAAAAATAATTTCCCTACGAGTTATAATAATTTTACCATGAAAGTTATCTCATTATTTGAAAAAAAATGTGGACATATACCTTAACACCAATGGTTGTTAGGCATGGCACCCAAACTGGAATCTATAAAGAAATTGAAATGAGCCACCACACTGAAGATTGGATTCTGGTCAAATGCTTGCAGTGAAAAGTAACTTAGCCGACAGAAAAATAACTACACAAGACATCAAGACTATACTAGAGGTATATTTCTGTTGATAGGAGCATTTATAAATGTTTCACAATGATCACTCCCCATGAACTGTACATTTAATAAAGGAATTGGGGGGAAAGTGACTTGTGAAAACAGCATGCACCTTTTTGACTTTGTATCAACATAATTTAAATTCTACAAATAAAATTAGGTTATTTTTTCAAGACGTACTCGTCTTATCATGCTATATATAATCAAATATATATACAATTAAATAAGATGTCAGTATAGAATGTCTCCATGGGATTCTTGTTAAAAGCACTTAAAAAATTATAAAATGTCTTCATTTAGTCATAAGGTGCCACATATTAAATCGGCCTTCAGCTTTAAAACAGATTCTCAAACTACTCTGACTTGCTGAAAATAAATATTCTTTCAGTATAACATTACAAACATTTTATCAAGAACAATCCAATAAAGTTTACATCAAAAATTCAGGTGCTATAAAACAAAACGTAAATATAATGCACATGCTTACAACAGAACCAGTCTTGTCCTTAGCCTTTAAGTAAAGGATATGTCCACAATTGTGCAGTATCCAGGCAGCTGTTGGTATAAGACACAATATTGTGCGGTATCCAGGCAGCTGTTGGTATAAGACACAATATTGTGCAGTATCCAGGCAGCTGTTGGTATAAGACACAATATTGTGCAGTATCCAGGCAGCTGTTGGTATAACACAGTATTGTGCAATGTCCAGGCAGCTGTTTGTATAACTTACAGTACTGTGTAGTATCCAGGCAGCTGTTGGTATAACACAGTATTGTGCAGTATCCAGGCAGCTGTTGGTATAACACAGTATTGTGCAGTATCCAAGCAACTGTTGGTATGACACACAATACTGTGCAGTATCCAGGCAGCTGTTGGTATAACACACAGTATTGTGCAGTATCCAAGCAGCTGTTGGTATAATGCATAGTATTGTGCAGTATCCTTGCAGCTGTTGGTATAACACACCATTTGATCACCTCTGGGCTTCATAGGAATTGCACATGTTAAAAAGAAAACTCATGCACTATAACAATCACTTCAATAAAAGGATGTAAAGGTAAACTGGACATCCTTAAAAGTTCAATATGGATTATTAAAGCACACTTTATACACCAGATCACTTTCTCTCATGTAATTATATCCAATTATTCCTTGTTCTTTCAATTGTACAGCAAACACACATTTCTGAACTGCAAGAAGTTTCATATTTATCCCACATGATTTTGATCAGTTCAGGAGGATAATTCTTTCAAAATTCTATAAAGATCAAAAATAAAATGTCTCTGTTTCACCCTTTATCAACTTCTAGTTTTAAACCATTGGGCTTGATACAGCACTAGAAGATATCTTTTTATTTTTCTGAAGCTGTGTTACTTCTTTCTGGAGTTGTCGTATCTTGGCCTGCAGAATAAAACAGGAACTTTTAGGTGGAAATGTTGAATTATGAGACTTTGGAAGTTTACAACAGATACTACGACATCTTTAAAGTTGAGTCAATGATTTTATGGACTGCCTTAAATACACATGCAAAAACCCATTATCAACAATGNCTTGTCTTGTTTACCTTCACAGATCAGCCCAGTCATTGAGAAGATTTATGGCTTTGAAGAGTTGCCAGAGGCATTTGACAAGGTTTCTAGTGGGCATGCTAGGGGGAAAACTGTAATTGACATCAAAGAAAGAGCTAGACATCAGGAGACGGACACACTGAATGATGAGAATGTGGCAGCTTCTGTGGCATAGGAACAGTAAAGCTGGTGTTACAGTAACAAAAACTTGCCATTAGTTATGTCAAGAATTGGTTTTGTGGGCAGTGATATTTTTTACCTGCTAATGTTAAAGGAATGTTGTGGATGAATGTGCACAAGCATGGTGTTATACTCCTGTGTCCACTCTGCTGAAGTCTGAACACTTAAATAGAGAAAAATCTAGTAGTAAGACGCTGATTACCACCATGTTTTTTTTATGCTGTAGGTAAAGTTTGTACAGTGATATCGTAGACAACATATACCCAAAGATGTTATGTGCTCTAGGCGATATATATGCTTTATTTGGTGTAAGGGGTGTTTTTCGATGAAATGTGAACACTGTTCGTATGTACATCAAATAATATGCTGTCACTGCCGCAAATGCTCAGTGTTCTGGCATATATTGCTCTGGTGAATGCGTTATATCTCACATACATGATATAAATCATTTGTTACCAACCACAAAACCCTTCTTATCAGAGTTTTTCTCTTAAGAAACTTTTATGTAGTTGCCATTCTCTTCAAAGTAAATCGCAGAAAGTTTCCAGAAAACAGGGCATACATTTATGGGACTATGCTCAAAAATTAAAGAAGGTTAAAAATAATATCCCTACAAGTTATAATTTTACCATGAAAGTTATCTCGTTATTTGAAAAAAAAAAGTGGACATGTACCTTAACACCAATGGTTGTTAGGCATGGCACCCAAAATAGAATCTAAATTGAAATGAGCCACCACACTGATTCTGGCTAAATGCTTGCAGTGAAAAGTAACTTAGCCGACAGAAAAATAACTACACAAGACATCAAGACTATACTAGAGGTATATTTCTGTTGATAGGAGCATTTATAAATGTTTCACAATGATCACTCCCCATGAACTGTACATTTAATAAAGGAATTGGGGGAAAGTGACTTGTGAAAACAGCATGCACCTTTTTGACTTTGTATCAACATAATTTAAATTCTACAAATAAAATTAGGTTATTTTTTCAAGACGTACTCGTCTTATCATGCTATATATAATCAAATATATATACAATTAAATAAGATGTCAGTATAGAATGTCTCCATGGGATTCTTGTTAAAAGCACTTAAAAAATTATAAAATGTCTTCATTTAGTCATAAGGTGCCACATATTAAATCAGCCTTCAGCTTTAAAACAGATTCTCAAACTACTCTGACTTGCTGAAAATAAATATTCTTTCAGTATAACATTACAAACATTTTATCAAGAACAATCCAATAAAGTTTACATCAAAAATTCAGGTGCTATAAAACAAAACGTAAATATAATGCACATGCTTACAACAGAACCAGTCTTGTCCTTGGCCTTTAAGTAAAGGATATGTCCACAATTGTGCAGTATCCAGGCAGCTGTTGGTATAAGACACAATATTGTGCAGTATCCAGGCAGCTGTTGGTATAAGACACAATACTGTGTAGTATCCAGGCAGCTGTTGGTATAACACAGTATTGTGCAATATCCAGGCAGCTGTTGGTATAACACAGTATTGTGCAGTATCCAGGCAGCTGTTGGTATAACACAGTATTGTGCAGTATCCAGGCAGCTGTTGGTATAACTTACAGTGCTGTGCAGTATCCAGGCAGCTGTAGGTATAACACAGTATTGTGTAGTATCCTTGCAGCTGTTGGTATAACACAGTATTGTGCAGTATCCAAGCAACTGTTGGTATGACACACAGTATTGTGCAGTATCCAAGCAGCTGTTGGTATAATGCATAGTATTGTGCAGTATCCACGCAGCTGTTGGTATAACACACCATTTGATCACCTCTGGGCTTCATAGGAATTGCACATGTTAAAAAGAAAACTCATGCACTATAACAATCACTTCAATAAAAGGATGTTAAGGTAAACTGGACATCCTTAAAAGTTCAATATGGATTATTAAAGCACACTTTATACACCAGATCACTTTCTCTCATGTAATTATATCCAATTATTCCTTGTTCTTTCAATTGTACAGCAAACACACATTTCTGAACTGCAAGAAGTTTCATATTTATCCCACATGATTTTGATCAGTTCAGGAGAATAATTCTTTCAAAATTCTATAAAGATCAAAAATAAAATGTCTCTGTTTCACCCTTTATCAACTTCTAGTTTTAAACCATTGGGCTTGATACAGCACTAGAAGATATCTTTTTATTTTTCTGAAGCTGTGTTACTTCTTTCTGGAGTTGTCGTATCTTGGCCTGCAGAATAAAACAGGAACTTTTAGGTGGAAATGTTGAATTATGAGACTTTGGAAGTTTACAACAGATACTACGACATCTTTAAAGTTGAGTCAATGATTTTATGGACTGCCTTAAATACACATGCAAAAACCCATTATCAACAATGCTTAGTAATTTCTATGATGGAAAATGCCTTGGTATCAACATAATTTAAATTCTACTAGGAAGCTCTTTAAAATAGTAAAACCAGTGATCACTCTTGGTACATAATTATCCAAGACAGAAGACTGACCATGAATCACTCCTGCTAAAAAATCAGTTTTTTTTAAAGAAATGGTGTGTAGTCATATGACTGAGGGTCTGGGGGTCACTAAAGTCAAAAACCACTCCACAAAATTCAGATTTCTGATTTATACCAGATAGAATCAAGTCTACACTATACAGACCTGCATCTGATTAGTGGCCTCCTCCTGTTGTTTCTGCATGGTGGTAATCTTGCTCCTCAACTCCTTCTCCACCTCAAAGTTCTTAGCTTTCAGATCAGTCATCTGTGAATACAGAAGCTTGTTTACATAGTGTACAAGACACAGCGAGTGAATTGCTTATCAAGTTTTCACTGCTTTCCTCTTTCCTTTTAACACGGGTGTTTTATAAGAAGAAAATGCTTTTATATAAATGGATGCTTTTAAACAACAAAATCTACTTCTAGCACATTTTTAACAATGCATTAACAGAAACGTTAACAAGGCACCTATCACTTACTGAATAGAGATACAGTGTAAGCAATTAACTTATAATTGTTTCAACTCAATTGATTGCCAAATTTTGTCAAAGGCCCTACCTTCCTCTCCTTTTCCAGGAGTTGTTGGTCTTTCTGCTGGATTTGCTTTTTCAGCATTTCCACTTCCTCGCGCAGCTGCGTCAGAGCCACAATGTTGTCTGAGCTGGCAGGGTCTCCAAGGCCATGGTCATCTGTACTGGCCACAGTGGACAAACTAGAACCAAACAGACTCCTTGGAATTTCTTTGGTACACCCTGTTTATAGACTGGAGTTACTTTAAAGGACAAACTCAAAAATTACAAAAATGGCATTTTTTAAGATCAAATGAGCATTACTTTTCAATTTGAAAATGAAAATATTTAAAAGGAAGCCCACTAAAACACATACCTCTTTGTTGGAGTCAGACCATTTGAGGCATTTCTTTCCAATTTAGGTTTCTTGCCTCCATGTTGTTCTTGGTTGTGAGATCTAAATAAATGGTAAGATCAATCTTTTTTCACTACTCAAATAAAGAGGCAAAAACTTCCCGACTCTGGGAACTATAATGGAAATAACCAACACCAACCAAAAGTAAAACTATCGCAGCACAGTATCCAGATGTGTATGATCAAAATGATATCTGATTCCACTGGCCTGAACTTTAAACTTCTGAGAGAGAGACAGATGGAGTCATGTTAAAAGGAAACTTTATTATGATAACATGGACCATCTTCTGTGCTGTTACCTTGATAATAAACATCAACTGAGAAAATAGACGTACTGCCTTAAAAACTATCACAGTGGTACTTACTTTTCACTCCCATGGTGAGTTTTGGACTTTTCAGCATGTGACTTGTTATCTTTGCTGTCTTTACTGTGTTTGTGATGATGGGAAGAGTGGTGGTGATGATGATGGTGATCTTTGTTTTCCTTCACCTTCTCACCATTGTTACTCCTCCTCTTATGATCCCGTGAGTGAGAGCGATGATGATGGTGGTGGTGGTGATGATGATGTTTACTGCTACTCGTACTACTACTTTCATGATGAGGTTCTTTACTGGATTTCTCTTTCTTAGGAGTCATTTCATTGTCTGTGAGTTTCTTAACATCGGCAGGTGTACCCGTGCTGCCTAATAAACCAGGTGTGCCACTACTCTGCTGACTGTCTACACTGGACAACAAATTTGTGTCTGTACGTCCATTTTCTTGCCTTTGCTTTTTAGCTTTAGCTAGCACCCTTTTGTAGGCCATAGTACACAGCCAACACAAGAGTTTTCCATCCACCTAAATATGGAATTTTTAAAAATCTTTTTCAGTTTAATTTTTTAAAATATGTATGTATGTATGTATGTATGTATGTATTTGCACCCATTCAGTTCTTTTAATTATCTACAAAAAATAAATGTCAGTGTAAAATTTGTATTTCTAAAATCATCTATCTGAAGAACAAGCGACAGTATTTAAGTTTTGTTTCTGAAATCCTCATTCTCAACAACAGTGTAAGAAGTTTGTTTCTAAAATCACCCATCTCAGGGATGAGTTACAGTGTAATGTGTTGGGTTCCTGTACCTTCTTCTTGGCCTCATCACTCCTGTCAAAAGCACACTTCTGTTTACACTGCTCACAGGTCTGAGGTGAGCCCCACTTCTTCTCAGAGTTGGCACATCTTTGACACTTGTTCCCAATGAAGGCAGCCAAGATATTGCAGTATTCACAAGTTGTAGGCTGAAAATTCACCACACATCTCTGGTTAAAGTACGTTTTGAACTTAACATAATAAAACAAGATTTACCTACAGTGTATTCACATGCATTTCATGCTAAATTAAATTTAGTATTAAAAAGTGGTACATTGTTTGTACAAATAGTAATTTTCACCTTATGATGTTGGGTAAAGGTATTTTTTTGAAAATTTATTTCTACAGTCACGGAATCACATTTAGTTTGCAGCTGCATAGCATACTTGCCTTTCCATAGGATTTGACACACTGAGCACACTTCTTACAAATAGAATTTGTATTTCCCTTACTGGAAGAATAAGTTTTAAAGGAACATTTAAATCTATCACATTATATTTTCATTCATTAATTTTAATTTCTTTTTTTTTTTGTTCATTTTGTTTGTTTATTTCACAAGCTAAAATGAAATTTAGCTTAAGTTCTTGCATTTGGTTTTCTGTTAAAGCAAAGAGATTCTAAGCAATGTAAAAAACAACACTGAGCTGGAGTGAAATCTTTTTTTAAGATTCAATTTCATCACATACTTACTCTTTTATTTGGAACTCTGCCCTACAATAGGTGCATTTTACAGTAGGGTAAGCATTACGACATTCCTGAAAAGAATAATAATATACAACTGTACATCAATCTGAGAAAATGAATTTATGTGGTAAGAACATCATTTCAGAGAGAATCTAGTACTGCCACCATATGCAGTATCATACATCCATATAGAACTGTTTATCAATGTAAACAAAATCATATTAGTGATCAACAACCTGAAGATTACAGTCAAAATTTGTAAAGATGGTTATAAAGACTGGACAATCACACTTACTAGTCAATGTAAACATACAATGATTTTCGAAATGCACCTGCACTGTCTGCAGTGAAGACCGTTGCATTCATTTAATTAAGACTTAGTACTAACAACGACAGACGACCAAGCGATTTGTACATTTTAAGGCTTTTGATACAGATATTTTTCTAGGATCACTTTAAGAGTGGTTTCAATATGGTTTGAATTACTTTCAAGGGGAAACAGATAACATCTACTGAGCAGACAAAGGGACGTAACCAACTGCCTCAGTTTTCGGCAAATGCACTAGGTGGAAAGAGATTGAACTCACTTTACAAAGTTGATCTGCGGGAGAGAGTTCTTCAAACGGATGCCTGCTGTTGCACTTAGTACATGCAAATAATGCTGCCATAACCGTGAAGTCAGCAATGCATGGAAACGGTCAAATTACAGAAAAATTCACTCAAGTCGTAAGTTTGGATACGAGATGCTAATAGCCGGAAGTCACACGCACTGCAAGATGGGAGAAGTAATCATTGCAATAAAGACACCGAAAAACAAGGCAGATTTATTCGGATTTTCTTACGTTATTTGAAAAATCAATAACTGAGATAATAATCTTCTATAAAAATTGCCTTTGCGAATTTTTAATCTTACTGAATCATTTTGTCCAATCAGAAAATTTCATATTCAAATCCAGTCGCGGCCCGAGGACCCGGATGTTATGATATGGTGTTGTTGTTGAACCTTGTTGTAACAGTACGTATGCAGCTGCGTGATTTGAGAATCTGACAAGCTATGGCTAGTCTTTATAGCCCGGTAAGATTTTAAAATACAGGAACATTTTTTGCGATTATTAAGTTTGAAGTTGCAGTTGTTTTGTTGTTGGATTATTAGATTACATTCAAACGAACATGATTACTACTGTAGTACTAGAATCCAAGATAAATCCTAGAGGAGTAAAAGCACATATATCGCCGGCGCATCGCTACTCTCTTTATAAGTTCATGTTCCATACAATAAACACCTTAAGTCAGGCAAAACATTCATATTTTAAAATATTTACGATTAATTTATCGCGCTGAACTTTGTAATATTAAGTCACGACAACAAATTACAATTGATTGTCTAAGCATATATACCCTTACGAAAATTTCCTATAGGATTTCCTATAGGATTTCCTATAGGATTTCCTATAAGATTTCCTATAGGA